CAGAACATCACTTGGCCCTCCACAGAGAGTCTCCATGGAACCTTCACAGCAGAAAAGCCTTCCTTTAGCAACCCTGAATCATCACCAAAGTTCATATTTTCTTCGTAGTAAACATTGTCTGATTGCAAAATGCTACTCAAAATTGATGGATACAGGGGGTTTTCAGTAACTCACAGGTCCTAGAAATGGTCCACAGAGTCTAGTTTGGTTGAAGAAGTAAAGATAAAGGTGAATTGGTTTTAAATGCAGCATCCACACTAAAACTCTTTACATTTCATTTTCACATTTTGGTGTGAGTCCATGATCTGCAGGTAGGTTACATCATTTCATATTAATACAGTTGACATCTTTCAAAAAAGCCGAGTAATCTGTAATTATAGCTTAATATCATCCAAAAATTGTTGTATTGGGTCCCTTTCGGAAGCTGAGATTCTAGTCTAGATATTCTAATGGTGAAAACCTTCTTCTCATCTAGGACTTCAGCTAGAAGTCAGGTGGTGCGCTGTGCACGGACAGAAAGCACAAAGGTGGTTATTAATGACCCTTCCGGGATGCTTGAAAAGGTGTTAGGGACATTAGTGGAACTCTTTTATGTGACTTGGAGTAATGTAATGCTTGTGAGAGAGAAGCTAACCACAAGCCAGCTCCATCTGGACCCAAGCCTAAGGCAGGCTTTGATATGGTAATGAACCAACTCCAGTGTGACCTGTGGCACTGATGTTGTTGAACCAGTCCTAACTGAACACTGATGGCACATAACTTACAGGCCCACCAGAATAAAACAAAAATTGGACATTTGCAGGAGACCCTAGGAGAGCAAGGCCAGACTCCCCAAGGGGTGGCTGGCACCTCAAGCCTCTGAGATGATATCCATCCACAGGGGACTTTGAGACTGGCCACCTTGGGGCTCTGGCTTTAGCAATCATGCATTTCTGGAACATTGCCTTGCTTATGCATGCCCACTGTCAGTGCTAGCCTCTGGCTGACCCTCTCAAGGAGCTTCTGGGACCTCCCACAGTGCCATCTTCCTAGCCTGCCACAGCTGAAGGCTGAAGGACCTCGCGGTGGATGTGGGTCTTGTCTGTAAGCTCCCGAGCCAATCTTACCAGAGAGGATTCCCCAACAGAACACTGTAGTATCATCTGCCTGAAAACCATTCCCCTCTTGATGAGATGTCTCTTTACCTAAGATTCCCGCAGCTCTTATAACAGTGTGGTATTGAAAGGGATGTTTGTGGAACCAAACAGCATTTTCAAAAGGCAAATCGCACATGTGGCCATTCTAATAGTGTGTGTGTGGCGGGGGGGAGCCCTCACAGACCACAGACCATACTTGTCACAAGAGGTGCAGGGGGGCAGGGGTGGGGGCGGCACTCACAGACCATAGGCTATGGGGGTCGGGTGGGGGACGGCACTCACAGCAAACTGGCCATACTCAAAGCAGAAAGAAAGAAAGATTCCTTGATTCCACAGATCTTGCTATTTTCCCCATGAGAAGAGCTAGTCCCACACCTGAAGGACCTTCTTCAGGTACAAAGTACAGGCACGAGCAATGGTGACTAAATTAACGAAAACAATTATTTTATCAGGGTCATTACCATCCCCATCAAGGCCTAGACGTGAGTTAGCATTTCCAGTTATTAAGGAACAGATCTCCTGTGTATTTTCCTTTATACATCTCAAGTGAACTGGCTCTCCGAAGAGGTGTCCCGCCTGCTTTTAAGGCGGCATTTTAAAAGCCCTCTCACCTCCTGTATAAAGTGGGAGAGCTGAAACATCATTTGCTTTGCATTCTGTACACTTCCATCATAAGGACAGGAGATTCTTTTCCAAGTTATGCCTGTTTTTTTTTTCTCTTTGTTCTTTGGTTCTTTGGGGGCCGACCACTCAGTTCAGATTTACTCTTTCTTATGAATGCCCGGCCTTACCCTGGCTTATTTCTAGCGAGTTTTTCTTAAATTATCCTGCCTGTCATTTTCCTCTGGGCTTTTACTTCCCTCTATTTCTGTGTATCTTTTCTCCTTACTCCATTGCTGGTTGTGTAGCTGTGTGGCTGGTCCCTGATGTCCTCCTCTCCTTCTCCTTTTCTTGCTCCTTGGTCTCCCAGATTTCTCCTCCTATTCTCTCTGCCTGCCAGCCCTGCCTGTCCTTTCTCCGCCCAGTTGTCAGCTGTTCAGCTCCTTAGTAGACCAATCAGGTGTTTTAGACAGGCAAAGTAACACAGTTTTAGAGTTAAACAAATGCAACAAAAAACAATGGTTTTTTTGCATCATTAAAACAAATGTTCCATAGCATAAACAAATGTAACACATATTAAAATACTATTCTACAACCTATGACTTCATTTTTAAAGTTTTCATTGACATAACCGGTTTGGTCAAAATCTCTAGTCAGATGCTAAATAAATACTGACTGATAAAGGACTCTGTGAGTCAAGGTGATAATCCAGAGTCTTCTATGCAATGGTTGAGCAATAAACACATCCGCTTCTAGCTTAAAATGATTAAATGATTGTTTATACATATGTGTGTTCCTTAGAAAAATGCCTCTCACTAAATGACAGTAAAGGGGCGTCTTAAAGGCATGAAAACACAGGAAAGGAGACGCCAGCCAGCGAGGTGTTGAAGGGCGTACTGAGTTAGGGCAGAAGGGAAAGCCGAAATGTTACAGTCTGCAACCAACCACTGATGGTGCAGGATTTTAAGGTCCCAGGAACCTCAGCAAAGAAGACGAGGGAGAAACTGAAACTAGGATCACCTGAAAGTGTATCCAGAGCGCACAGATCCGAAGGACTCTCCTCCAGTGCAGTGTGTGAGTGACTTCCTGTCTCAACGGGGTAGGGAGCTTGAAAGGGAAAAAAGACTCAGAAACCCTAAAACTGGAAAACAGAGGGTGAAAGAAATAGAAGTGGTGGATGTTGAATGCCGAGGTCTTGATCGTCTTGGCTTAGGACCCAGAATGGCTGTCATATACTTACTTCTATGCTCACTTAGATGGGACTTTGGGAATTCTGTTTCTAGAGAAGTGAGTCTGAGTGAAAATGCTTTTAGATGGTTATATACACAGTCAAATTTCCAGCCCTAACAGCCCTGCACTTCGGCTCATTAGGAAGCCAGTCTTAACCACAAAGTCAGCACTTCCCACCAGCCTTCTGGATAGTCACTCTTTCATAGACAGCCAAGTCATGGAGTGTAAGACACCTGGGGAAGGTTTCCCCTTGAAAACAAAGGGCCAAGCTAGCAACTGCAGACCCAAAGGAACTCAGAAAATAGATGACACAGGAAGAAAAGATAATTCCCCCTACCAAAAGATATAATTAATCAGATGTAAAATAAGACATTTTATATATTCTAAGGACAAATGGAAATGATTGCATCTCCCTCCAGGAGCTGTGCGGGGCCACACCTGTTCCTTTAGAACAGTCCTGCAAGAGAAGCATAAGAGTCAGGAGATGAGGGCGGTGCTTACAGAGGAGCCACCGTTCCTGGCCTAAGCCCAGCAAGGCTCCATAACACCTCCAGATACCATCTCCCTGGGAACCAAGCCTAACACAGGAAACCCAAGTCCAGGAGGGGCATGCGAACAACACCCAAACTGCAATACAGGGTCAGCGTTACCAAAGCTGAGGTGCTAAGTTAGGAAGCAGCGGAAATTGGTTTTGGTTGCCTTTCCTGACAGAATGAGACAGCAAATGTAAAATCTGTTTACAATGACAGCAGCGCTGTGATGGCTAAGCCAGGCAAGGTCCCAAGCTAGAAGGGCACATGGCGCCCTTACCAGTGTTTCTCTCTTCTCTCTTCACCCTGTCCTCTTGGGACAGCACAGAGATCTGCTTCTTGGATTGCAAGAGCAGAAATTCGGGCAAATACACTACAGTTGGGCTGACTGGGACATCGAGAAAGAGCCCAGCGATTCAACAGTTTTGAATATTTGCACAAATGACCTAAATAATAATCTTTGCCAGAGAATAAATCCTACTGCGGTGGAGAAAGAATGAGGACAACTGGATTACATCAGCACCATTTGTCTCCCTTGGAAAATCTGACAGTTTTAACAGGTTTATTCGGTCTATGTCTTGACAGATCATGGGACCATGGGCAGGTCCCACTCAGTATCTGAAATGTTCGTTCATGTCAGACACTGCCATTGATGACTGCCAATGAATTACTGAGCATTTACTGTAAACTAAGCAAAGAACCAGGTGCTTGATGCCTCTTATTTCTGTTGTCCTCACAACACTGTGAGATCGGTGCCATGTTATATCCAGTTTGTTTCCCAGAGTGGCTGACAGTGGGGCCACACAGAAGGCAAAGGCAGTGTCAGTGTTAGAGCCCGTGTGTTTCTGAATCCCAGGACGCTGCCTTTTATCATGGGGGTGTGCATGGCACACACTCACACTCACACTCACACTTACTCCCTACTCTCTTTTACACACACACACACACACACACACACACACTCACACCTCCTCTCTCTCTCTCTCTCTCTCTCTCTCTCTCTCTCTCTCTCTATCGCACACACTCCCCTCCCCCTACAGTCTCGAAATTTCTTGCCCTTTCTCTTTCTCTGCTTTGGCAGTGACAATCCACTGGAGTCTCATAAAACCAGGCCCCATCGAAGAAGCATTTGCTCATGCGAGGTCAACATTACACTCCCACTCGCCTGGAGACTCTCTCCCCAAGCATACCAGAAGCAGGCTGAAGTGGTTCTGCCAGGTGGACATGTTACATCTTATTGGCTCCACTAACCAAACAGTGCTGAACCTGAACCTAGTGAAAAATAAACAAGCCCCAAACTTCTGGAGCATGCTCACACCGTAATTAGTGAATTCCTGGCAAATAAAACTAACTAAAAGCAGCCTAGATGTCTATTAGGTGATGAATTTGGATATTGAAATGGCATATTATTTATGTAATGATATATTAGTCAGTTGTTAAGGAAAATGTAATTATGAAATTCACAGGAAAATGAATGGAGTTATAAACAATCCCCAAGTGAGGTAACCCAGACCCAGAAAGACAAACACTGTATTTCTCTTAAATGTGCATGTTGGTGTTAGCAATGTGTTTCATGTAGAATATCCACAGGGTTAGGCAGCTAATAAGGGACCAGGAAGGAAGAAGGGGTTTTCCAAGGAAGGGGAAACAGTGTTTTAAAGGGATAAACAGAAAATCAGGATAGGAGGAGTAAATGGTGTGTGTGTGTGTGTGTGTGTGTGTGTGTGTGTGTGTGTGTGTGTGTAGGTAAAGGAGGAAATATGAGGAGGGATAATTCACACTAAAGGCCTTTTGAAAAGCCAGATGGAAACATACTACTG